TTCCCCCCCCCCAATGGATCCCTGCCCCACTCCCCTACCCTCATCCATGCCCTGTCCCCCTCCCACCGCTCCCGCTATCTCCAGGGAGGGTCCCTGCCCCAGGCTCTGGCAGCCCGGCGGGGGCAGACTCACCATGAGGAGCCCCACGAGGAAGGCCATGGCGGCTGCCACGCCAATGCGCCGCTCCTCCACCTGGGCCAGCGCCGCGCTGGTCGCGTTGGGCTCCAGGGGCCAGGGCACCAGCTGCTCCACCACGGAGCCCGTCATCAGACTCACCACGGCAAAGGTGCCTGGGCAGGGGAAGGGAGACACAGCCCCTGAGAACTGCCCAGCCACCCCCTGGCAGACAGCGCCACCTGCCCGCCCCTCACCTCTGCCCCTCCAGTGCCCGCCCCATGCACACATCCCCCCCCACTGTCTCTAGCCCCATCTCCCATGGACTTCTGCCCCCCTGCGTACCACCCCACAGACACCCCCCATGCCCCACACTCTGGGGGAGGGCACAGCTGGCAGCCACATGTTCCTAACTTTGGGAGGGCACCAGCGGGGTGGGGCCCTGTTCAGCCCCTTGGTTGGTTATGGGGATCTCCACCCCGCTCCCCCACTGTCATGGGAACAGGCTGCTGGCACAGCGATGCCCGAGGAACCAGACCCCCCTTCCCCCCATTTAACCCCGCCGAGCCCTGGGCATCGGTGGCCCACTCACCAGTAGAGACGTGGCGCCCGGTGCCAAAGAGCATGTAAAGGATGACAGGGAAGAAGGAGGTGTAGAGCCCGTAGACGGGGGCCACGGAGGCCAGGAGGGCGAAGGCCATGCCTGCGGGGACCCGAGACGGGCACGGGGGTGAGCCGGGGGCGGCCGAGACCTTAACTGCCCCGCTCCTCTCCTAAGGACTGAGCGGCATCGTCCCGCGGAGAGCTCAGGGACGCTGCTACACCCCCGGCAAGAGGGCGAGATACAGACTGTGATGGGGGAGGGGTCAGAGCGGCCCCCCCAAACAGAGGGCTCCTGTTTCAGAGGGGCACTGAGGCCAGACCCAGTCAGCACCACGGGGTCCAGCCTGTCTAAACCTTGCCCTTCTCCGTGGCTTTGTTACCACCACACCCGGGGGAAACTGAGGCCCAGAGGGGTGGAAGGACAGCAAGTCAGAGGCAGAACTGGGAACGGAACTCAGGAGTCCTGGCTCCCAGCCCCCACTGATCTCACGCACCAGACCCCACTGCCCTCCCAGAGCTGGGGAGAGAACCCAGGAGTCCTGGCTCCCAGCCCTTCGGTTCCAAGTCTAACCACCGCCCCAGGAGTGAACCCAGGAGTCCCGGCTCGGCTCGCTGTCTCTCCCGCCACCGTGCAAGTGGCTCCCAGCCTCTGGGCTCCCCGGCCAGACCCGCTCCCAGAGCTGGGATCCGTCTCTCCACCGGCCGCCGCGCAGCCGGACCCCCAGCAGCTACCCGCCTTGGGGCGCCCGAGCCCGCGGAGAGATGCGGGACGTGGGACAGCTGGGGGGTAGATCGGCCCCCCCCGGGGCTGGGGGGTCAGGGGGAACGGGGGGGCCCGGGGCAGCTGCTCACCCTGTGGGATGTGCACGATCCCCACGGTGAGCCCGGCCAGCGCGTCCCCCAGCAGCCAGGGCCCCACCCGGTAGCCGGGCAGCCAGGCGGCGATGGGCAGCCGGCGCCGCAGGAGCCGCAGGGCGGCCGCCCCGGAGCAGCGGCAGCCCCGGGCCACCCGCCGGCGCAGCGTCCCCGCCGGGCGGCCCCGGGGCTCGGGCGCCCCGTAGAGCTGCTGGAAGCGCTGCTCGGTGAGAGCCCGGCCCGGCGCCAGGCGGCTCATGCTGGTGGCCCGGGCGGGCTGGGCGCGCGGCCCCTTTTATCGCCCGGCCCTGGACCCCGCCAAGCCCCCCCCCCCCCCCCCCCCACCCCCCCCCCCCCCCCACCCTCTGACCCACAGCCGCCTCCCCGGGGTCCCATCAAGCCCCCTCTGAACCACACAGCCCCCCCATCTGACCCACAGCTCCCCTCCTGGTCTCCAATCTACCCCTATCTGACCTACAGCGCCCCCCCCAGCTCCCATCTACCCCCCCTCTGACCCACAGCCCCCACCCACCCCCACCCTCTGACCCACAGCCGCCTCCCCGGGGTCCCATCAAGCCCCCTCTGAACCACACAGTCCTCCCTTCTGACCCACAGCCCCCTCCTGGTCTCCAATCTACCCCTATCTGACCTACAGCGCCCCCCCCAGCTCCCATCTACCCCCCCTCTGACCCACAGCCCCCACCCACCCCCACCCTCTGACCCACAGCCCCCTCCTGGGCTCCGATCTACCCCCCTCTGACCCACAGCTCCTTCACCACCATCATCAGTAGAGACACGTAAAGGCAGGGCGCTGGCTGGAGACGGGGCTGAGCCCGGGAGGGCCCAAGCCGTGCCTGGGACACAAGGAGCGTCCTGTCCCCGGGGGCTGATCCTGCAGGACGCCCAGTCATCTCCCATCTCCCCCTGACCCGGGGGGCCCGCTCCTGGCAGAATTAGGCCCTTTGAATTCCACATCCCCAAGGCAGAATGGGGGTGTGAACAGATCCCGTGTCCTGTTTGCCAGCCCAGGTGGAGGACACCCCTCCCCCCGCAACCAGACGGATTCAGCACCAAGCCCCCTGATGCTGGGGGTTGGGGGGTGGATGGGGCAGCCTCAGCAGAGAGGTCGGGGGCTGAACGGCCCACGGAGGCCAGGTTCCCCTCGGCCTGTTGGGGGAGGGGGCCCTGCCGGGTGTGCCCTGGCCTGGCACATTGGGAGGGGCCCACATGAGGGTCTTCGAGCGCCTGAACCCCAGAAGCCCTGCAGCCAGGCAGTTCCCCCCCCCCCCATCGCTGTGCCCATAGCCACCTACCCTGGCCCCTCCCCGCCCCTCCATGTGCCCCCCCCCCCCCGCAGCCTGGCCTCTAGGTAACCCGGGAACGCAGAAGTGAATCCTTCCCTATAAACAGGATCTTCCCACTGAACTGGCCACACGGCCCTAAACCCCGACAGGGAGGAAACCGCTCCCCCAGCCGCCCCGTGCCCCCCTCGGCCCGGCCCGGGCCCTGCTGAGCTAAACACAGGAACTATCGTGTGCCCGGGGCTGAGCCAAGCACACGCAGGGCACAGGCCCAGCAATGGCTCGTAGCCAGGAGCCTCCTGCTCCGGGTCTCCCTAAAACCTCCGACGGCCGGAAGCTGGGACGGGACGCCAGGGGAAGGACAGCTCGATAACCGCCCTGCTCTGGCAGCAGCCCCGGTCGGAGACAGGCCGCTGGGTGAGCGGGGCTGCCCCGGCACCAGCCCCGCTCACCCCCCGCCCCCGAGGCGCCGTGGGGGGAGGGCAATGCCCTCTGCCGTTGGGGAGGGGGGAAAAGCAGCTGATCTGCTACATGCCTCCCCTGCCCCCCCCGTCAGTCTGTCCATCCCCCTATGCACCCCTCTATCGCCACCCCATGCACTGCTACCCATCCATACTCCCCTAGTTCCATCTATCTCCCGCTACCCATCCACCCCCCGTCCCCATCCGCAGGGCCCCTTTTGTCTGTCTGCTCCCACACCCGTGACTGTGGTATTGAACGGTTGATCCCAGGCTCTGAAATCCCCCCCGCCCCCCATTATGGAAGGGAAGCCGCAGGGCTCTGGCAAGCAGGCCCCTCACCCGCGCCCCCCGCAGCGCACTGGAGAGTCGCGTGGCTTGCCACAGCCACACGCACTCAGGCAGGAAGATGCCACGGCGGGCATGGAGCCCAAGAGCCCCTGTCTCCAGCACCCTCCACCCCTGCTCCTGGCTATCTGGCTGCCCCCCTCTCCCCTCCCCCAGAGAGATTCAAGGGCAGGTGCCGGCTATAACATTCATTGCAATGATGCCTCTGCCTGTGTCCTTCTCCAGGCACTTCCAGCCAGTAGGAGCACAGAAAACAGGGAAAGGGGGGTCCCATTTAGCCTGGGGAGGAGGCATGTAACCTTTTAGATGCTGGACTGTTCAAAGCAGAGGCTCTCCCAAGGGAATTGCATTCTTCTCTCACTACAGCCAATGGGAGTTAGGCACCGAAATACCTGTGAGGCACTGGGCTAAAGGCCTTGGGGGCAGAGAGAGGCTGTCCTGACCCATCGCCCAGCCCCTACGTCCCCCCTTTTTGCCCCTTGCCCAGCCCCCACATCCCCTCCCTGTCCCGTAACATCCTTGTGCTGCCATTTCGCAGCTGAGAACAAGGCGGGGGACCAGCCCCACGTAGCCGCCAGCTCCCCGCTGGCCCCCAGTCCCTCCCTTGGGGACTTCCAGCCATCGCTCTGTGGGAGCCTCTCCCATCGCCATGCTATGCCCCATGTGCCGGGGGGGGCTGCCCCACCACAGTGGCCTGGTTGTCGGCAGGGCCTGCTTGGCGCTGCCCTGGCCGTCCTGCGCCGCCCCATCCCCATCTTCCCAGCTGCGGCCCGCACCCGCCTCGGCCAGTCCCCCGCTGCCTCTCCCCGACCCATTCTTCAAAGTCTGGGTGGTGCAGGCTGGAGCCCGCGGCCTTCCAATTCCTTCCATTGTTCCCCTGGCGTCTTATCGCGCCGGCTGGCTGCCTGGCCCGCTCGCTCAGCACGTCCTGTCAGCGTTAATCCCACCTCGGGGAGGCCGCGGCCAGCTCCTCCTCAGCCCCCACATTGTTCGCGGGGAGGAGAACTCCACGATGGGTTCCTGTATTTCAGTGAGCCTCCGAGGATCCGCCTGGCCGCCTGCCACTTGGCAGCCTGGCCCGCCCGAGGGTAACAGGGTGATGGGCTGGGGCCGCGGAGAGTCATCTTCGCCCTCCCTCCCGCCCCGAACGCTATTGTCTGACGGCAGGAAACCAGCCCAGCTCGGAGCAGGGAACACGCGAACCCCCGGGGAGACACGCGCAGGGCAGGGTTAGCGGGCACCCCAGGGCACCGGGAGAGACCCACACCTAGCTGGGTGCATGGCCCAGGCAGCTGGGGAAGATAGCGCTGCACTCAGGGAGTCAAGACTCCTGGGTTCTATTCCCCAGCTCAGGGAGGGGAGTGGGGGCTAGTGGTTAGAGCAGGGCCTGACCACCAGGACTCCTGGCTTCTATTCCCCATTCTAGGAGAGTGGGATCCAGTGCTTAAAGCAGAAAGGGATGAGAGACAGGACTCCTGGGTTCTATTCAGGCCAGGGGAGGGGAGTCTAGTGGTTAAAGCAGTAAGCTGCCAGGACACCTGGGTTCTCCTCCCATCTCTGCCATTGACTGACGATGTGACATGGAGTGAGTCCTTGCTCTGCGCCTCGGTTTCCCCACCTTGCAGTGCTGAGTTCTGGATCTGTGGCATTTCCCCTAGGAGTTGGGGACCTTTCTTTCCCCCCCAGGGGCTCAGTAACCCTGGGGGGGGTCTCTGCCTCCTAGGGGAGGGGGTATCTCTGCAGTAACAGCTCTCCTGCGGGTGCTACCGACATTCTGTGCCCACCTGTACTATACCCCCCACCCCAACTCCCAGCCCCTCTACTCTGAACCCCTTCACCCTCCCCAGTCCAGCTGTCTCTGAGCCCCCCCTTTCTCCTGCCCTGAACCCCCCTTGCCCAGCTGCCAGCCCCTCCCTGCCCCCATGCTGGGCTTGCTCCACAGATACAACAATCCACTCTGTCTCTCCTTGGCAGGTCTGGTTGTTTGGGACCCCTGAGAGCTCTGAGCACGGCCCCGTTCCCCTCCAACTGGCCTCCCCGGGAGGGCTCAGAAAACACCACCGCTGCGGGTCAAAGCCAGCGCAGGATTCGCCCGGGGCTTGGCCCAGGCCCCCTAGTCTTCTAGCAGCAGGGAGCGGTCATTCGTCAAAGCCCCCGGGGAGCCCTTGGCCCGGGTCGGCGGATATTTAGAGACGTGCAGCCGGAGCAATAAACACCAGGCCATTTAGCATTTGCCCTCCAGAGACCCCCTCCTGCCACGGGCTCCTACGGAAGGATATGCCGCCAAACTCTGGGTCCCCCTGCACCGGCGGGGGGGGGGATTTCCTGTGTGGTGCTGGCCCCACCCACCTCCTGCCACTGCGGGCACTCAGCTGTTGTACAGAGAGCAGGCCCCAGACAGCCTCTGCTCCCAAAGAGCTCACAATGGAAACAGACCATGGGTGGGAGGGGAAACTGAGGCACAGAGCGAGGCAAAGGGACTTCCCAAGGTCACTCAGCACTAGAGGTGAGACTAGGGCCCAGCCCTCGGGCGGCCCAGTCCAGCGCGCTACCCACTGGACAACACTGCCCCCTGCAACGGGTGATTCCAGCCCTCCGGGTAGCTGCCCCAGGAGCTGCTCTTTGCACTGACCCCTGCAGGGTTCACAACGCTAGTGCAGATCACCATTCAGCGTGCGCCGCACTAGGGGATAAAGGGCTGGAATCAGGCTGTTTCCCCCGATGTGGACAAGACGGGAGCCTGTCTGACTCTTACAGGGAAATCGGGGAGTTTTCCGGGGAGAGGGGGGCTGCAGTTCCCTGCCTTAGCGGACCCTTCCCCCGCTGGGGGTCCCGGAGACCAGGCCTCCAACGGGAACAGCTCCAGGGTGGGGGAGACAGATGCCAGACAGACCCCTGCTCTGGGGTGACTGACAGCGCAAGGGATGGGTGGGGGGCAGGAATCCAGTGCACCTCCTGGCTTGGTCGCTCGCTGTCCCCCTCTAGTGGCTATTCCATGCACTGAGGCCTGCAGGGTAAGGAAGCCCGCTCCCTAGCTTATACGGTAGTAGCTAAAGCGGTGGGATCCAAAGGTCGCCGGTTCAAATCCGCCCCCTTCCCCGGGCAGGGTGTTTTGCAGCACAAGGGGTGATCCGGGGGTGAGCACAGCGGGG